ACCCAAATATGGTGAGCGATGGGCGTGGACATTCATCACAGGCCACGCCCCTCTGGTTTTACTCCACCAGGGGGCGGGGCTTGAGTGAGTGGGCGGAGCGAGCCACTCTAGTCCCCGCCCCTCATGTCTAACCCGAATAGGACGGGGCGGGGCTCCGGGAGGCGGTGGGCGGGGACATTCCGCCCGTCTGATATAATCCCGTCCCGCTACCGTCAGCGGGACGGGGCGCGGCCTTGGGTGCGAGGTGGGCGTGTTAATCCGCTCTAACCCGGCTGAAAGGACGTGGAGGGGGCGTGGCCTAGGTAGAAGCCACGCCCCCATCGCGTGTAACTCCTCCTCCTCCCGCGCGCGGCCCCGCCCAGCGTGACGCACGCTCCTCCTCCCGCCCCCCGCGCGCGCGCGCCTTCGGGTACGTGCGCGCGCCCCCGTGCGTTGCGTTGCGTTACGTTGCGTTGCGTTACGTGCGCGGCCCCGCGGGCGGCAGGACCCGGATCGGCGGCGGCGGCGGCGGCGGGAGGAGGAGGAGGAGGAGGAGGAGCTGGAGCGGGGCCCGCGGGGCCCTCGGCCGCCATCACGGATTTCCTGTGGGACAAGCGCACCGGGCTGGCTGCGAGGACGGTGCGTGACGCGCGGCGGGCGGTGCGGGGTGGGGCGGGTAGGCCGCGGGCGGGGAGGGCCCGGTCCGCGGTGGGTCCCCGGTAGGGTGGGGGCACACACGGTGTGCGTGTTTCTGAGGGGGGCGGAGGCTCCGGATGGCCCGGCGCCCGTCGCTGCCGGTGTCCCGGTGCTTCCGGCCCCTCACGGGGGAGGCCCCGCCCGCCGCCGCCATCATCGCGCCCGGACCGGCCCCGGTGCTCGTCCCGCCGGCACCGGCCTCGGCGCTCCCTGCAATCGGCGAGGAAGCGGCGAGGCCCCCGGGGGGATCGGGAGCCGCCCCGCAGAGCCCTGGGGGTCCCGAGCCCGTTCCCCCCGGGTCAGCCCATCCCCGGGCCGGTTGTGCCTGTCCGAGCCAGGCCGGTGATGTCAGCGCGGGGCGGGGGCGGGGAGGTGACCGGGGGGGTGTTTTGTGGGAACTCTGTGGGCAAAGGGAGCTCGGGCTCCTCTCCCGGCCCTGGCACGGGTTATTCCATGGATGCCCCATCCCTGGAAGTGTCCAAGGCCAGCTCGGAGCAAACCGGCCTGGTGCAAGGTGTCCCCTGCCCGTGGCAGGGGGTGGGACTGGGTGAGCTTTGAGGGCCCTCCCAGCCCTTTAACATTCCATGATTCCCTGATTCGTGCCTGTGGAGCCGAGGCAGGTGGAGTTGCTCTTGGTTGGGGAGCTGAAATACGCGTGGGGAATGTGTGAGAGCTGGAGCTGGAGCTGTGCCATCTCACCCCGGGGGTCTCCTTGGCTCTGACCTCTCGTGGTCCCCCAGAGGGGCAGAGCCGGGGGTTTGCAGGGCTCTGTTAATGTGCATTGGGAAGGGTGGGTTTGCTCCTGGGCACTTCCCACAGGCACAGGAAATTGTGCCATGGAATACCCTGAGCTGGAAGGGGATCATCCAAATCCAACTCCTGGCCCTGCACAGACACCCCAACAATCCCACCCCGTCCCTCAGAGCATTGTCCAAACGCCCCTTGAGCTCTGGCAGCCTTGGGGTCGTGCCCGCTGCCCTGGGGAACCTCTTCAGTACCCAACCACCCTCTGGGGGAAGAATTTTCCTAATATCCAACCTAACCCTGCCCTGGCACAGCTCCAGCTGCTTCCCCAGGTCCTGTCCCTGCTCACACAGAGCAGAGATCGGAGCTGCCCCTCCTGAGGAAGCTGCAGCCCCCTGAGGTCTCCCCTCAGCTTCTCCAGTGCTCTCAGTTGCTCCTCATGTGGCCCCTCCAGACTTGTCCCCCCCAGATGTGGATGTCACTTGCTTGGCACCAAACCAGAGGCATCTCCTGGGGAGTTGCCCCCGTAGATGTTCCCATAACTGCTGCACAGGGACTTTGGTGACATCCGGGGCTTCATTTCACCTTCCTCGGGGGTGGTTCCCTCCTCCCTGGGGAGTGCAGGAGCTTAAGGGGAGAAGGTGGAAGCCCTGGAGGTGCAAATGCTCCTCCTGGAGCTGTGGACTTTAGAGATGGGTGCGAACAAGGGGGAAGTAACCTGGAAAAGATTTGATTAATGCACAGAACTAGTTCCAGTCTTCTCGTGCCACTCAAGTGTTATATAGCACTTAGCAGCATTGACAAGATGGTTTTGAGGTGTTTTTTTTTGGCTTCTGAGACATGTAAGAGTCAAAATAAAAATTATAGGAGGATTTATTGAAATAGATATTTCAATTAGATCTTAAAAAAAACCCACACTTTTGTTTTCTACATAACTGGGAGAGAGTTGTTTTCCCATGACCGAATCTCTCCCATACACAGCAAGCACCCTCCTCTGGGGGGGTCCCATCTTGTTTTAGGGGGCTCTGGGATCTCCGAGAAGTTCCTCTCCTCCCTCAGAGGGATCCCTGGGAATGGGGTCAGGGATCCACGGGACCCTTCAGCACATGGATGTGGAAGTGGTGCCGCTCCACCTGCCAATCCAGGGCCTCGATCCAGTCCTGTTTCTGGGGGGAAAACATGGTAAAATGGGAAAAGATGGTGTCAGGGAGCCAGGGGAAACTGGGATCCTCCTGCAGGATTCATCCCCAGCACATGGATGTGACACTGGTGCTGCTTCAGGGCCTCGATCCCAATCTGAATGTGGGGGAAAAACACGGAAAAATGGGAAAATCCATGGAAACGGGGTCAGGGAAAAGGTCAGGAATAGGAGATCTATCCTCATCCCAAAACATGGTTATGGAGGATATGGGTGTTCCCCAAGTGCCACTTCAGGGCCTTGATCCAGTCCTGCTTCTGGGGGAAAAACAGGAATGTGGGAATGGGATGGGGAATAGGAGTAGGGAAGAGGGGGGGTTCCAGGGCAACATCCTGGATAAATGGGAAAAATAAAGGCAAAGTCGGGGATAAAATCCATCCTGATCCCTAAACATAGTTACAGGGAAATAAGGATGTGGATGTGCTGCTTCAGGGCCTTGATCCCAATCTGATTCTCAGGGAAAATGGGAAAAACGGGACCAGGAGTCCCCGGGAATGAAGCAGGATCCCTGGGAATGGGGGTCATCTGTGCCCAGCAGATGGATGTGGGATTTGGGGGGATTTGAGGGGATTTGGGATGATTTGGGGCAATGTAGGGTTGGAATTTCGGGGCGTCAGGGTTGATTTCAGAGGGATTTTGGGGGGATTTTTGGGTGGTTCAGAGGAATTTGGGGGTGCCAGGATTGGTTTTGGGGTGATTTTGGTCACTCACATTCTTGTCCCCCTCTGTCTTGTGCGTCTGCACCGACAGCGACTCCGCTTCACTCTCATACTGATTCCCCTGCACGTTCAGGGTGTTGTGGGGAGAAAAGGGGGGGTCAGGGACCCCAAAATACACCTGGGGGACCCCAAAAATCCCCTGGGGACTCTGAAGAACACTCTCAGAACTCTGGACACTTGGATGTGCTGCTGAACCTGATGTCGCGGACTGGTCCCTGTCCCACGCAGCGGCTCCCGCTGTCCCCAGAGATGCCTGAGGGGGTCCCTGCTGTCCCCAGAGATGCCTGACGGGGTCCCCGCTGTCCCTGGGTGCCTGACGGGGTCCCCCCTGTCCCCACAGATGCCTCACTCCCGAAGGTACCGCTCGTCGGAGCGCAGCAGCCGCGGGAGTTACCACGAGCGCTACCGGAGCCGCAAGCACAAGCGGCGGCGGACGCGGTCGCGGTCGAGCAGCAGCGAGCGGGACCGGCGGCACCGGAGGGAGGACAGCTACCACGTCCGATCCCGGAGGTGAGCCAGCCTCGAATCTGCCCTCCTTCACCACGGTTGGGTTGGGGGGCACCTCTGGAGACCACCCAGGCCAACCCCCTTCCAAGGCGGGGTCACCCAGAGCGCAGAGAAACCCACCCGGGTGGGTTTGGGATGTCTCCAGAAAGGGGGACTCCGTGCCCTCCCTGGGCAGCTGTTCCAGCCTTGTTCTTCACAGAACCACAGAATATTCTGAGCCACAAGGACCATCAAGTCCAGCTCTTAAATGAATGGCTCACACTGGGGTTGAACCCACAACCTTGGCACTATTAACACCAACTGAGTTAATCTCAGGGTTCTGCCTCATGTTGAGGTGGACCTTCTTGTGGTTTAGTTTATGGCCATTGCTCCTCATGCTGTCACTGGGCACCTCTGAGCAGCCTGGCACCATCCTGACACGTGCCTTGGAGATATTTATATGCATTAATGAGATCCTCTCTTCTCCAGACTAACCAGGCCTGGCTCCCACAGTCTCTCCTCATAAGAGGGATGCTCCAGTCCCTTCATCATCTTTGTTTCTCCAGCTGGGCCTGGTGTGACCTGGGCCCTGCTCTGAGCTGTCACATTCTAGGCCATGCTCGTGACTAAACCCCCTCATCTTGCTCCCCTCTTAGGGAAACTTCCCTGTCCAACCATCCAGGAGCCAGTCCAGCCATCCCACTCCACCACCTGAGCTGGGACTGAGGCCCTTTTGCAGTGGCAGCTCCCCGTACCCCCCCCCTCCCAGTCAGACCAGTTTCCTCACCAGCTCAGCCCCAGGTTTCCCACAGCAGAGTCCCAGACCTCTGGAGCCTTGAAATAATCTTGGTGCAGTAACAAGATAACAGCTGGAGCTGGTGCCTCTGGGGAGGGACCCCAAACAAAGGACCCCCAGGGCTTTTATCCCCTCAGAGTCTCAGTGCAGGAAAGTCTGGGGGTCATCAACTCCTGCCACGTCTGTGAGTGTCCCTCACCTGGCTGGGGCACAGTTCCCTGTGCCCTTTGTTATGCCATGGGTTGGTAGTTCAGAGCCTCTTGCCTCCTGGGGTTCCAGCCCCCAGAACTCCCACTGCTGCTGCCCCCTGAGCTGCTGTCACTGAGTGTATAGAAGGAGGGGATTCTCCCCCTCTGCTCTGCTCTGGAGCACTGCATACAGTGTTCCCAACATCAGAAGGACATGGAACTGTTGGAGCAAGTCCAGAGGAGGCCACAAAGTTGATAAGGGGGACTGGAGCCCCTCCCCTATGGAGACAGGCTGGGAGAGTTAGCAATGTTCAGCCTGGAGAAGGTTGTGTGGAGACCTCAGAGCACCTTCCAGTATCTGAAGGGGCTACAGGGAAACCAGAGAGGGACTGTTCCTCAGGAGCTGGAGTGACAGGACAAGGGGAATGGGTACAAATGGAAAGAGGGGAAGAAATTTTTTTCCTGTGAGCGTAGTGAGGTACCGGAACGGGGGGACCGTGGCTGCCCCATCCCTGGAAGTGTTCAAAGCCAGGCTGGATAAAACCACGAGCGAGGAGGTGTCCCCACCGCAGGGGGTTGGGATTAGATGATCCTTGGGGTCCCCTTCAACCCAAGCCATGACTTGTGTCTCTCCTCAGCTACGACGACCACTCAGCAGACCGGCGGGCCTACGACCGGCGTTACTGTGACAGCTACCGGCGCAACGACTACAGCCGCGAGCGGGGCGGGGACGGCTACTACGAGCCCGAGTACCGCCACTCCTACGAGTACCGGCGCTCCCGGGACCGCGAGGGCAGCTACCGCAGCTGCAAAAGCAGCCGGCGTAAGCACAGGCGGAGGCGGCGCCGCAGCCGGTCCTTTAGCCGCTCCTCATCGGTGAGTATCCTGCTCTTGCTGGGCCTGCCCTGTAAAACCTTTCTCTCTCCCAGGTGCCGAGCTGGGTAAGTAGAAAACTCACTTTCTAAACGCTCTCTCGGACTCGGCTTGAACTGTGTGTGTGTATGTGTGTGTGTGGAGGAGGAGGAAAGTTTTTGGTGCAGAGCGTTCCTGCCCGCACGTCCCGCTGCGCCGGCTGGGCACGGGGGGCTCAGACCCTCTCTCTTAGTGTTGCCCGCTCAGGTGGGAGGACAGGTGTGTCCCTGGGGTGGTGCTGCAGCTCCTCCCGTTTGGTGACGCTCGTGGAGAGCTGTGTAGGAGCCCCAGCCAGGCAGGATTTGTGCGAGGCTCAAGCAGCCGACGCTCAGCTGGTCCCAGTCCCAGAGAGCCTGTGACAGGTGGCTTGTCCCCGTGGTCCCTGGTTTGGGCTGTGGCAGGAAGCCCCTGGCTCTGATTCTCCAGGAGCAGATCCTCCTGGGTGGGCTCAGCTGACGTGGGGTGTCGTGCGAGGGGCTTTGCGGAGGAGCAGAGCTTTTGGACCACTCAGCTCAGGTGGAGGCAGCGACCATCCCAGGCTCTTCCTGGCAGTGTCCCCGGCTTTCTCTTCTTGTCTGTTCTGCTGTTCACTTCTTCTAGACCCCAGACACGGTCTCTGCTCTGTGTGTGGAGCTCTCAGTGTTGTCTGGTCTGTTCTGGCTGTGTGTCCAGGGAGGGGATTGGGGGCTGGATTCAGGTCCCAAGTCTGCTGGGCCGCTTGCTCCCAGGTGTGGGGATACTTAGCTGAGGAACCGAAGGCAGGAATTTTCTCTTCTCTGGCATAAACCTCTTATCTGCCTCATCCCAGGCTGTCCCTGTTCCCTGTTGGGCTCTGCTTCTCTCCTGGAAGTTAGTCCTTCCAGGATCAGCTTCTTCGGGGGAGGGTCTGGGAAGAGATGTCCGTCTTTCCCCAGGCAGTCACTGTAAATTCTCAGTTTTGGATGGATTGTTGTTACCTAGAGCTGCTTCTGGAATCTCTGAATTCCTCTTTCCCTGAGTGTCGGGGCTGGGGGAAGCTGTGTGGGCGGTTGTTGGAGTGGGATGGGGGTGCCTGTGAGGGCAGCCTGGGCTTGTGCAGGACCTCTGGGCACCTGCCTCTCACTGCCCTTCCTCCTTGGTGGCCGTGGGGCTGCTGGGAGCCCCCTCCCCGTGGCCTCTGGCATGTTTAGGGGGTCCCCAGGACCCGAAGGCTGGTGCTATTCCTCTCTGAGCCCCCGTGGGAGCGAGAGCAGCCGGCCCCTTCCGTGCCCCCTCGGCTCCCGCACTCCGACAGCTCTGCTCTCACACTGGTTCGGGTGGGGCTGTTTGTAGGTTCTTTTTTTTCTTATTTTTTTACTTTTATTTTTTTTTTAACTTTTTTTTTCCTTACTTTTTTTTTTCTTTTTTGGCTACAACGAAAAGCGAAACTGTTTTTTTTTTTCTTTTCTGAGCTAGTGTGTTGTATCTTGACATGTTCCCTTGCAATATCCCTATCGTTATATATTCCTCTGTGCCGTATGAATTGGCTGGGAATCTCCTCCTGCAACCCCTCCTCAAACAACCATGTGAATTTCCAAACCAACCAATGCGTGACGCTGGCTGCTGCGCTGGTTTGAAAATCTGATTGGTGAATGATGAATTCCCTGTCTGCCTGGGCCAGCAGCGGAGTCGACAGAGCAGCAGAAGGGCCAAGAGTGTGGAGGACGACGACGAGGGGCATCTGATCTATCGCGTCGGCGACTGGCTACAAGAAAGATGTACAGCCAAATCGTAACATAATTTAGCTCTCTAGTTAAGCTCCCATCGCAGTCGCAGATCTGTCTTATCTTTCTGTTTCATTTTATTTTCATTGTTTATTAAAGAGAAACCCTCTCCTTTTCCTTCCCCTTTTGTTAAAAGCTACGTTTATATTGTATATTGTTACTGAAGTGCCAGGGAATTAGGGCAGCTGCCTTGTGCAGCCGGTGTCAGCCTTCCGCTGCTCCGGTCTCTCCAGCTGTGTGCAGGTTAGGTGTTGCAATGCATTCTCCTCTGCCCTGTGTATCGCTGCAGCCAGGTGCTGCTCCCTCTCTCAGCTCCTTCCCTCTCCTTCTCTCCCTCCCAGATGAGATTATCAGCACGCTGGGGGAAGGCACGTTCGGCAGAGTGGTGCAGTGCATGGATCACCGGAGGTACGTGGGGAGAGGGGAGACCGCAGCTGGCAGTGGAGCCTTTCGGGCATAATGTGGGAGCCTGGGGGTGAAAATCAATCTGTTGGCTTCCAGTGTCCTCTGCTGGTCTAGGCACTCGCCCTCTTGGGTCACCTGTGTGCTGGGGGAGGCTTCGGGGCTGTTTGTGGGGAGGGAAAAGGCACAGCTTTGGTGGACACCCCTTAAAAACACCCACCTGCTCGAGCAAGGGTGGTGGAGGCTGTGCTGCGCAGGGGAGGCTGGTCAGAAGGTCCCTTTCATAGTACACAGCCCTTTTGACCTCCTCAGGGCTCACCCTGTGCTTTCTCCCTCAGGGGTGGTGCACGTGTTGCTCTCAAAATCATTAAAAACGTAGAGAAATACAAAGAGGCTGCTCGGCTGGAAATCAACGTGCTGGAGAAAATCAACGAGAAGGATCCCGAGAACACAAAGTGAGTGTGCTCCTGGTGTTGGACTGGAAGGGCTGGTTCCAGGGGTGGGATGGAAGAGGTGCTTGGTGCTGTGTGGCTGAATGTGATCCTGGCTAGTTTTGGAGGCATCTTGCCTTGCCGTGGGGTACAGACTGAGCAGCGGAAGGAGGAGCCTGGCGCAGGGATGGCATTGCAGAGCTGGTCCCAACTGGAATGTTTCTGTCAGTCTCTGTGTCAGGATGTTTGACTGGTTTGACTACCATGGCCACATGTGCATCTCCTTTGAGCTGCTGGGGCTCAGCACCTTTGACTTCCTGAAGGACAACAACTACCTGCCTTACCCCATCCACCAAGTACGGCACATGGCCTTCCAGGTGTGCCAGGCTGTGAAGTGTAAGTGCTCCCTGCTCCTCTCCCTGCTGCACTGGGCTGACCTGGAGAGCTGTGCAGCTCCCAGGGACCGGGACACTTGTGCAACTGGTGGCCCAGAGCAAGCGAGTTTTTGCTGTTCTTCTGAGCCTGAGCCTTCCTGCCCCTCTGGGAGTGAATCCTGTTTGTTTTCCGAGGCTTGTGGGCTGGCAGTAGCTTAGGGCACTCCAGCATCCACCCCCCTCACCTTCTGGTGATCAATACAATATAGTCTTTGTGCTTCTGATGAAGCATCTTGGCCTGGGCCAGCCTGTTCACACCCAGTGCTAAATGTGGGCTAAAGTGGTGCCAGTATGAGCAAACTGAAGCAGTGATGGCTTTTTGTGGGTGCAGCCTTGCTCTGCTCCTGTCCCATCACCCCGACTCTCTTTGCTTCCTCAGTTCTGCACGACAATAAACTCACCCACACCGACCTCAAGCCGGAGAACATCCTCTTTGTGAACTCGGACTATGAGCTCTCCTACAACCTGGAAAAGGTAACACACTGCCTGGGGTCAGATCTGCTCTTGGGTTCTTGGTGTCCCTGACCAGGGGGGGAGTTGGGACGTGCCCCAGGTGACAGGGGCTCCCTCAGGGCCTGTGTCTTGCACAGCTGCCTGTGCTCAGGCAGTGAGAAGTGAGCCATGGGGACCCCAGGTGTAGCTGGCTGGCGGTGGGAGCTTGTTTGGGGCTGAGCCGTGGGGCCCCCAAAGCTTTCCCCTCCCATGGTGTGTAAGGAAAGGCCCCGAGTACCTGTCTGGGAGCTCCTGGGTCACGGATCCCGTTGTTGCCTGTGCAGAAGCGGGACGAGCGGAGCGTGAAGAGCACGGCCATCAGGGTGGTGGACTTTGGCAGTGCCACGTTTGACCACGAACACCACAGCACCATTGTCTCCACCAGGCACTACCGGGCCCCTGAAGTCATCCTGGGTAGGTCCCTGCCGAGGCAGGTGTGTCCCTCGAGGTGCTGCTCGCTGGGCTGGGGAGTGCTGGGCCTCCACGTCGTTCAGGACCTGTCCTGGGTTTGCCCTGGGAGATGGGAAGTATTTATTTAAGAGCTCTCCAGTGCTGTTTTCTGGGAAGGCCATCATTATAGCCATGGCATTATTCTGAGGTTGTTCAGCCTGGAGAAAAGGAGGCTCAGGGGGATCCTTCTCGCTCTCCACAACTCCCTGACAGGAGGGGGGAGCCAGGGGGGGTCTGGCTCTGCTCCCAGGGAACAAAGGACAGGATGAGAGGAAACAGCCTCAAGCTGTGCCAGGGAAGGTTCAGGTTGGACATCAGGAGGAGTTTCTTCACAAAAAATGTTGTCAGGCCTTGGAAGAGGCTGCCCAGGGAGGTGGTGGAGTCACCATCCCTGGGGGTGTTCAGGAACGGGATGTGGCACTCAGTGCTCTGGGCTGGGTGACAAAATGGTGATGGGTCAAAGGTTGGACTTGATGATCTTGGAGGTCTTTTCCAACCTGAATGATTCCATGATTATCAGTTGACTGCAGTTTTGGCACTGCAGTGCATTGCCAGCAGGGCACCAGGGGCTTGGCTGGAATGGGAACTGTTTTTCCAGCTGTTTGTTTTTTAAAGGGAGAGGGATTTGAAATCCTGTGCCATAACTGGATCATTTATTTAAACAACATTGTTTTTCAGAGCTTGGCTGGAGCCAGCCCTGTGATGTGTGGAGCATTGGCTGCATCATCTTTGAGTATTATGTGGGTTTCACCCTGTTCCAGGTGAGAACTCCGGGTGGTGTGGCTACTTCCCAACTGGTGAGAGAGGATTCTGGCTGATTCCCAGCACAGCCCAGAGCCCCTGGGGCTGATGGGGGTCCCTCCATCACTGCTGTCCTGGAGAAGTGTTGGCCAGGAAGGGGTTTTGGGTCAGGGGAGTAGCCAGGGCTGGAGGCAGAACCACTGGAATCTGTTCCATGCCTTCCCTTTACATTTCTCTCTCTCAGACACACGACAACCGGGAGCACCTGGCCATGATGGAGAGGATCCTGGGGCCAATTCCTTCTCGGATGGTCAGGAAGACGAGGTGAGCAAGGGCCCTGCAGGTGTTGCAGCCTCTCCTGCCTCACAGGCAGTGGTTTTCCCTGAGGGATCCCACTTTGGAGGGGGAATTCCCTGGGTCCCCTGGCCTTGCTGGTGCACTGAGCCATGTGCCCTGCCAGGGCTGGCACATTGCTGTTGCTGCAGGGTGTGTTGTGCTCAGGTGTAACCTGTTCCCACCTGTTATTCCGACAGGAAACAGAAGTATTTCTACCACGGGCGCCTGGACTGGGACGAGAACACCTCGGCTGGACGCTACGTCCGGGAGAACTGCAAACCCCTGCGGGTAAGGAGGGGTAATCTCAGTGCAGAGATTCTCCCTCTGGGCAAGCTCAGACCAGCAAAAGGCTCAGACTGGTGTCTTCTTGAGGGAACCTTGGAATAAACTAGGAAGCCTGAGTTTAATCCGAAGTGGAAGAGGAGGAGGGCATGGAGAGTTCAGGAAGTGGGGAAGGGCGGGCGGGTGAAAACCCGGCAGTTCTGTCCCGGATAGAGGAGCCCAGAGTTCAGGCCTGGGCTGAGGGATGGCCCCAGCTTAGCCCAGGGGATGTCCCAGGCCGTTCCTGACCTGTCCCCTCCGCCCCCCAGCGCTACCTGACGTCGGAGGCCGAGGACCACCACCGCCTGTTCGACCTCATCGAGAGCATGCTGGAGTACGAGCCGTCCAAGCGGGTCACCCTGGCCGAGGCCCTCAAACACCCCTTCTTCGACCTGCTGGGCATGGAGCCCAGCACAAAACTGTGGGACTCGAGCCGGGACATCAGCCGGTGACGCCGCCGGTGCCAGGCAGCCTTTGCATTCTAGCCCCCGTGGAGGCCCCCCGTGACTTCTTATCCAGACACTTGGTGCTTTTTTTTTTTCTTTTTTTTTTTATATATATATACATGAGAAGAACTCCCCTTTGTAAAGCTGTTAATATGTGAGATACTGTAAATAGCCCTGTCGGCCTCGGGGCAGCACAGGCCCGACCTGCTGTCCTTCCATGAGGTGAGGGGGGGCCTGTGTGTCCATGCTGTAAATACCTCTCTCGTCAAAGTGTTGCTTTGTCTCCTGTTCCTGCCCTCCCTCGGTGTAAATACTCCAGGACTCACAGCTCTCTGTAGCTTATCTGTTCCCTTGTAAGTTATGGAACTGGTGGGACTGCATGGGAATTATTTTTTGGATCAATGTCATAGCCCATCCCCACACCAGAGTTTTATAAGAATTTTGTACAGTCTTTGTGAAAAATAAATATGAAGTGAATAAAAAGCCACCGGGGCTGGGTTTGGCCCCGGCAGCAGCTGCTCCTGGGGCTGTTCAGCTGACAGGGATGAAAGGAACTTTGTGATCTAGGAAACCAGCTCTGTCTACCTGCACCACTCCTCCCAAGCCTCCAGGGGCTCAGAGCTGCTTTTGGCCCTCAGGGCTGCAGCTGGACCTGGGCAGATGCTGGTTGTGGGGTCAGGCTGCCCCTTTCCTCATGCTCTGGGGTCAGTGTTGGGGTGAGAAGCAGAAAAAGGCTACAGTGGGGCCCTCAGAGAGGTGTTCTCTCACCTGAAGAGCCCTCTTGACCCTGGCTGGGGTGGAGCACTGGTTGCTGGTGGTGGCTGTTGGAAAAGGAGTGTCAGGAGCCCACGTGTGTCCAACACCCACCCCAGGGCTGTCTGTGCCTTTTGGGCTCTTCTCAGCTCTGCAGTGTGGCTTGGGATGTTCCCTGGGAATTGCTGGGGCTGTTCCACAGGTGGGAGCTCACCTGTGGCATTAGTGTGTCACTCTCAAGGCTGTTCAGAGGCTGAAGAGTATTTTCAGCAGTGTCTGCTGAGCGCTGAGGATGGAGGGGATGCTGAGGAATCCCTGCTGGGCAGGGGGGTCACTGTGCTGTCCGCAGGCAGCTGGAGCCCGTGGAATCGGGGATTCCTATAAATAACCGGCCCAGGAGACACAGGAGAAATTCCTCAAGTGCTCCTCGTGCCGCGGGTCCCTCCCAGGCTGTCGGAGCCCACCCGGCCGGCTCGGGGGACTCAGCGACAGCTGCTCCACTGCCGGGGGAACACACAGGCTGGAGCCGGGATGGGGGGGTCGGTGGTGAGGCCTCGGAGGGGGACCCGCGGGAGGGGCCGCTGTCCGGCAGGTTGCAGACCTGGAACCCTGTGGGGACACGGGAGCGCCGGTGAGGGGATGGAAGGGGTCCCGTCCCGGTCGCCGTTGTCGCGGGAGTCGCGTGGGAAAAGGGGGGGAGGTGGGGACACCAGGAGCCGAGGGGCGATGGGGCGATGGCTGCCGGCCCAGGGACACCTGAGGGTGGATGGGAGGGGTGTGGCGGGGTGGGATGTGCGGGGGGGGGATTTGGGAGGTTTTGGGATGCGCCCCACGTGACCCCGGGAGGGACAGACACACACACAGACACGTGGCCACACGTCACGTGCGCGGCCCCGCCCGGCGCGTGCGCAGCAGCTCCCTGCGGCGCCGGGCGGGGAGCTCCCCGGTGACGTCACTGCGCCGCGCGGGCCAATCGGCGCGCGGCAGGGGGGCGTGGCCTGAGGCGGCGGGGGCGGCGCCGCTCCCGCGGGTCCCGCGCGCGCTCCCGGTCCCGGTTCCCCGGTCCCGCCATGGCCCAGCGCGGCGGCGGCGGCCCCGCCGTCCTCCCGGACGACAACCCCTTCCAGGACCCCGCGGCGCTGCAGCCGCGGCCCGGAGCCGCGCTGGACGGGTACAACCCCTTCGAGAGCGACGCGGTGAGCGCTCGGGAGGACCGGGGCCTGCCCGGGGCCTTCCCGGTGGACCGGGGCCGTTCCCGGGAACCGGAGCGCTTTCCCGGGGCCTCACCGCTCCCCTCTCCCCCCGCAGCCTCCGCCGCCGTTCCAGACGCCGTCGGTGGCCCCGCCGCCCCCGGTCCCGGCGGCCGCGCAGCCCCCGCGGAAGGCGAGTCCCACCGAGCCCCGCAACTACGGCTCCTACGGCTCTCAGGTACGGGGGGAGGCGCCGCCGGGCCGGGGGCACCCGGGGGGCGGCGGCGGGAGCCCAGGGTCTGTGTCCCCCCCTGCCCAGGCCTCGGCCGCCGCCGCCACGGCGGAGCTGCTGAAGCGGCAGGAGGAGCTGAACCGGAAAGCGGAGGAGCTGGACCGGCGGGAGCGGGAGCTGCAGAACGCGGCCCTCGGCGGGTCACAGAGTGAGTGTGGCCTCGGGGCCAGGGAGGGGCGGCCGCCCCCTCGGAGCCGCCCCCCCTTCTCACCCCCTTCCCTCTGCAGCGAGGCTCAACAATTGGCCCCCGCTGCCGTCCTTCTGCCCCGTGAAGCCCTGCTTCTACCAGGACATCCCTGTGGAGATCCCTGCTGACTTCCAGAAGACTGTTACCACCATGTACTACCTCTGGATGGGTGAGTGCAGCCCGGGAATCTCGGGACAGACCCAGGGGAATGAGCATCCTGTGCTGTTGCTCTGGGGAAAATTGGGATGAGCAGGTGGTGCCTGATCTGGGGTGGGGTGGGGTGAGCCCCACAGGCTCCTGAGCGCTGTCCTGTCCCTCAGCCAGCACCATTACCCTCTTCCTGAACTTCCTGTCCTCGCTGGCCTGGTTCTGCGTGGATCCCTCGTCCGGGTCCGGGTTTGGCCTCTCCATCCTCTGGGCTCTGCTCTACACGCCCTGTTCCTTTGTCTGCTGGTACCGGCCCATGTACAAAGCTTTCAGGTGTGTGCCCGAGCTGGGGGTACCTGCTGCAGCTCCCTGGGGCCTCTGGCTCTGCGGGATGTGGTGTTTCCACGCTGTCCCCCTGCTCTAAGGAAGTTTTAAGACCTCTTTTTCTGCAGCCTAACTTTGCCTGTCTCTTCCTCCCAGGAGCGACAGTTCCTTCAACTTCTTTGTCTTCTTCTTCGTGTTCTTTGCCCAGAATGTGATGTATGTGCTGCAGGCCATTGGCATCCCAAACTGGGGATTCAGGTGAGCCATGTGCTGACTCCAGGCCGGCCCAGGACCCTGGCAAGGTGGGAGGAGGGAACTTGAGGGGCAACAACAGCCTCTTCTTTTTGCAGTGGCTGGATCCTGAGCCTGATAGCGCTGCGGACAAACACGGCTGTGGCAGTGATGATGATCCTGGTGGCCTTGTCCTTCACGGCAGTGGCTGTGCTGGGCATCATTATGCTGAAAAAGGTGCGTTGGGACACTTCTTCCCATAGCCACACTTGAGCTGAAGCGAGTGCCAGGGGAGGCTGAATTTGGGTGGCTTTCGTTTTCCTCTACAGCCCCTGACAGTACTGCACGTCTCTCAAGTCTTGTTTGCGTGGTTCAGATCTCTGAGACCACTGCAATAAAAGCAAGAGGAAATGGGCAAGCACAATGAAAAAAAAAAACAACCAAAATTGTGTAAACGTAGGTGTTTGCGAGCTCAGTTAGGGAAGGCTTAGAGCTAATCACTTAACAAGAGTTTGGGAAAGATGATTGAAACAAAGGGCGGTTTTGTTTTTAAAATAGAGATAAAGTAGATAAAGTAGTAATCTTTAAAGAGATAATTTAGTGTCTTTGAAGAGAGCAAGCAGTGTCTTTGAAGAGAGAAAGTAGCGTCTTTGGAGAGAGAAAGTAGCGTCTTTGGAGAGAGAAAGTAGCGTCTTTGGAGAGAGAAAGTAGCGTCTTTGGAGAGAGAAAGTA